TATTCGGGGGAAAGAGATGCCCCTGGTTGAGCTCGTTGATTAGGGTTTCCTTTAAAGCCTGCAGCTCTGCGGCGGGAGCCATGGTGACTTGCTGCTGCTGCTGCTGCTGCTGCTGCTGCTGCTGGTTGCTGCTTTGTGTTTATGCTGCAGCGGAGGATATATATAATTGTTTTTGGTGCGTTGATGATCTGAAATAAAGGAAAAAAAAAAGAAAAACAACAGACAGAGAGGTAAGGTTAGAGGCGCAGCCGCAATATACAAATGCTGATGCTGCTGCGCCGTGCCGGCTCAGCTGCACCTAATAGGAGTGGTTCTAGTTTTCACAAATACACATAAATGTAGAATTATACATTATAAAAGATATTTTATTAAATTAAAGAAAAAAAAAACAACAGAAACAGCAGCAGGATGGCTGCTTCTCTGCCCTGTGTCGGCAGCTGAATACCGAGCCGACAGCAGCAACACGAATCCTGCAGTTATCGATGCTGCTGATGGGGTAAATATATTGAAATGAGAATAAATAAAAAAGAAATATATATTTCAGATATATTTAATAAAATTTATAAACATATTTCCCACGAAGGTGAAGCAAACAGCTAGACTCCTATATATATACAACACCACTACAACTACTGCCTGGCGCGCAACAGGCAGCAGCAGCCACAAAACACAGCTTACTCAGACGTACTTTACCTGCAACGCAGCCAATAATATATTCCTCTATGCGATAAACATATTAACGCAGCTTTTGCCGTTCTTTAAGCCCCCTACACACATTAAACATCACCCCGCCCCCCACCGCCTAGCAGCAGCCAGCAGCAGCGACACAGGAGGTGTAGTAGTAGTAGTGCCGGCCGCACTACCACATGTCAGTACGCAGAGTTTTTTGTATAGATTGCANCCTGTTCTATGTGAGCCGAACAACAACACCCAGGGGGGACCGCTAGCTACGCCAGGCTCCCCAGCTGCAGGATCGCTGTATAAAAACAATCTAAATTTTATTTTATTTATAATAAACAACTCTTTATCTTTATTTACAGCCTTTTATATACTCGTTTTTCTCTGTCGCTGCTTTCTTATGAACCTCTATATGCAAGAAACCAGCAACCGCCAGCTGTTTGTACGAGTCGAGGCCGGCGAACAAGTACAGCCTCTGGCGGTACTTTTGGGGCAAAAACTTTCGCTTTTCCGTTTTTTTTTCATCTTTCTTTGAATTATATTAGCTAAATAGTCTCAGGAGTTCGGTTAGCGGGCTACTTTCTTACAGTTTCGGGGATAGATGCATCCCGCTACACCGCTGGCACTACACTTGTACTACCTGGCGTGCAACAAACAGGCTGTAGCAGCCGCACAACGCAGCATATTCAGACGAACTTCGCCTGCAGCGTAGCCAATAGTATATGCCTCTATGGGGTGACCATCGTAACGCCACTACCACCGTTGCCAGAGCCAACGCCACTCTAACTATACTTTGCCACAGACTCACACAGCCGCCTAGCAGCAACCCGCAGCGACAGCTGGGCAGTTGTTCACGTCGACCACATGACAGGCCAGACACAGAGCAGCAACGAACAAGTAGCAAGGAACCATCTGGTCTTCGCTCTCCTCATCTTGCATGTGATGCTCCCAATACCCAGCACTACAGGCATATTATTGACTGCTTTATATATAACTTCGGCAATCCAATAAGGCTGGAAAATTCGGGGCAACTTCGCCCTAGTCTGTGGTTCAGACGAAAGGTCACCTGAATACTTTCAATGCTTGATAAGCAACGGGCTATAATCAAATAAGCGCCACTTCTTTTTGCGACCCCGTGCCATTGACGCGGCTGCCGATGTGACCTGCATTATCTTGTGGGAACGTTTCCGTCCTTAACCTTTGTCCTCCGAGGACATTATCGCTGCGATTTATTTCATCTAAAAGCAGTGGAGACACGGCTCGACAGAAACTGCCTTCAGCAGCAAGCTAATCTTCCCGTTGCTGTAATGCAAAATGTAAACCATTTGGCTGTAGCAACAGTTCGCCCACTCAAAGTAGTTGGTACAAGAGGCATCATATTCAACGAGAATCCTTGATCTTAGCCAAGCACCGTCGTAAGTTGAAATGCACTGAAATCACTGGGGACGAATGCCCCCCGATACCGCCAACAACCTTCCGCTCCCGTTCCAGGCGAGTTGACAGAAGAGCCTGGCGAGGAAGAGGAGAGGGAGCAGCCTGTCATGTGCTGCAGCAGCCCTCGCTACAGCTGCTGCTGCAAAGCAACCACATATGCTAACACTGTAGCCACCACCTAGTTGATCAGTAGCCAGCCCGCGCCCAAGTAAAGGTGAACGTTACAACGTCAAACATAAGGATTTACCCTGGACAACATGATTATATCTAGAGAACAAAATATCCAGGAAGGTAATACCCGGCTTATCAAAGCGGTGACTGGCTGTATATGGAGTATGCAACCATACGCAACAGCATGGTGACGCAACTCCTGTGTGGATACGCGTATCATGGTAGTAAATTTTCCAGCTACACTAACACCTCTTGACAACGTCGAAAAGGCGAGTACGTTTTCTCATGACTATCTTGAATGTTTACTGCGTGATTGGAGGCCACTAGGCCAACAAGTTGATTCAGGTATCAATATGAATTCGCAGGGTTCACTAGAACGCTGGGGTATTGGCCAGCCCCTCATAGAATCCATCTGCACTGTTCTAGACGGTGAATGCAGGGTAAGGCGAGCTTCGACTATGCTCTTTTTTTCAGAAAAATGTGTCACGAAATAAGTTTCTTTACGGATCGACAGGCACGTATCAAAGTTTCTGCAAGCGGAAACCAGCACGAAAGAAAAGAAGTGACGCACAAATTGAGCGTCAAGAACTAAAACGCGCGGTGTACGTACAAGCAGCGCCATTTCATTGAATTGGCGGCATTCACTTGTGGAAAATCTGGTTTTTTTCAAATTGAGTTTGGCTCGCGTGATCACTCACATTTACATAGAACTTGATAGAAACTTCAATCGCTCAGTTTAGACGATGGCTTCTACGGAGATAAGCGGGCAACAGCAGCAGCTGCCACGCACAACTGGGAATACAGGACATGGAGGATCAGAAGAAACAAACGAAAGTGGATCAAACACAGGTCCTCTTCCTGGAGAATATGCGAATCCAGAAGTGACGACACACTCAACCGATGCGAGGCCTGAGCTGCCAATGTTTTGGGGGAATGCTCAAGAATCTCCTCCCAGGGCGACNCCTCAATGCCTCTGGGCATATTTCAACCTTCCTGCACTGAGCCTGGCGGACAGCGTTCCCGGTGTTGCTTCAGTTGCTGCACAAACAGATGGATTTCACTCTGTTGTTCAAGTTTCTTCTCCCTTGTTACATGCGTGAGTGTAAACTGGAATTTTTTTAAGTTACTTCGATGATTCAACTGTGTTTTTCTTTAGTCCCCATGTGGAGAGCGTCAAGGATATTTATTTTGCTAAAGAAACTCTAGCCCTTGTTTTCACAGGAATTCAGTGAGTTCCCACATTTCTTGAAAGCAAAGTTCATCGTTTGCAATTCCTTCTGTTCTAGACTCGCAGTTGACCTGCGCGGTGCTGGCGAAGCTTTTGAGAAAGCAATAGCACTGAGAGATCAACATATGATACCTTCTCTGCTCCTTGTTAAAAACGTTCCAGCTGTGCGTATCGAAAGGTAAAGAAATATATTCCCCGCTTGCTGCAAATGTTCCTCACTGTCAATGCCTACAGTAATGGGGGATTCGGTCCCTACGGATATGTTACAGTTCGCAAACACGTACGTCGTGTTCCAGGTTTTTCTGCAACAAATAAGGCAATACGAAATTTCCTAGAAAGCGTTTCGATGGATTGTCTCCCTTGCCCCGTCCGACGCAAGGGTGTACGATGTCTTCGAGATGGCAGATGGCTTCGAGATTGGGGGTTCCTCCGGATTGTTTGCCATCGGCACGTGGTAAGAAAGACGATTGCATACAAGAAATTTACTACAAACATTCAAACGTCAACTGGGCACAGGATTGTAGACCTTCGGACATTTTCAGCTCTGAGAATGTTGTTTCGTTCGGAACTGAGACATTCAAGAACGGCTCAGCCAGAATACCTTCTAGAGGCGGCTATGGAGGTGTTTGGAGCTGCAGATGGGCAGCAAGAGGGCGATGATATGCTTGGGTTTCCACGTGGAAACGATGAAGTAACGGGGAGCACAGTTATACCCGGCAGCTGTGAAGGAAACATAGACACGGAAAGCCCAGGTTCCCTCCCTGAAGTAGAGACAATGGATGACCATGTAGAAACCAACTCGCCACAGCACGCCTGCACTACTCTGCATATGATGGGTAGCCCAGTGGATCCCAATTCGTGCCAGCATGATGATCAGCAGCGACAGTCGAAGAGAGCCGATTACACAGTATCAGCTGCCCAATCTGAAGCGAACGACTCAGCAAACTCAAGTGTATGACAGAGCTAACTCTACATGCATTCCATTTCCTTAAGCTAGCACTTTCAGGTACATTACTTGCAATGTAGTGAAAGGTCAGATTCTCAAAGCCGACAAGATAGCCTTGTTGCAGTGATGCCGTCCGTCGAGGATTGCGGAGCCGCCGTGGTCACAAGATTTGAACAAGACAGCGACTGGTTCCAAGCAGAGAATACATCAAATTTCTTCCAGAATAGAGATTCCGAAATGGAGTGTTCAACAGACAACGCTCACGAAGGTCTACTCTCCGATTGCTCTCAACTGGAATTCCATTTTGAAGAACGAACAGACTCGCCGACGCATGCGGTCAGTGACGATGTCGCATCTAGAGAGGGCGAACAACAATCAACGGAGGCACTACAAAACGAAAGTGGACCAGCATCAACGAACAATGAAACGAACCACATGTGCTTTAACTCCAACACATCGGATGGAGAACATGAAATCAGATTATCATACATCGATGCATTAGAAGGCCAACGTCACCATGAGGCTGCTGATACCGGCAACACGAACAATGGAGAGAGTTGCCCCGTCGGAGCATCAAATGCCGTAACAACTGCCTATGACAAAAACATTGAAAAACAGTTGCAAGCCTGGATTGCTACGAAAGGGGAGTCGCAGTCTTACGAAGAGCCCACTAATGTGTTTGCAAGAAATTATCCGTCGCACGAATTCGAGTACTGGGCAGTAGAGGTCAGTTAACAATATTGTCCAACGTATGCAGCTTCTCAAGCCTCGACGATCGCAGGATATTCTAGTTACTGTTGAGCAAAATTACGAGAGCGACGAGCCAGGGACTCTTAGCGTAAACTGTGGAGATGAAATATACCTTTTTTCCGTCACGGTGGGATAGATGACAATAGTGCCTACTGAGTTGTTCCAATTGTCTATGTTTAATTAACATCCAGAACACTTCCTGGGCGTTTTGCCGCACCAGATGCGGAGAGTTAGGATACGTACCCACTGTTGCCGTCCCTGATGCATTCAGGAAAATGTTCAAGCATACAAAAATGTACGCAAGACGAACTGCTAGCGTGGATCGCTACTGCAAGTGGAAAGGCACTATCCTCTACCCCGGAGACCCTGTGGTCATTCTAGCAGACCTTGGAAAGTGGTAAGATAGTTCTCTACACATATGAACTTTTAGGGCTTGGCAATCCCATATGCAGGGTGTTGGTGCGCGATTACTCGCGACCGTTTCGACAAGCCTTCGTCCAGCGGGGCCGGTAAGCCGAAGAACACGTCTTGGGAAAAACTGAACTGCTAACTGTGCTCCTAAAGGCTTCAGCAATGATTTTCAAGGACTGTGGAAAACGCAAAAATTTCCAATTAATGTCAACATGTGTCGAGCAAGTGCGCGCGCATGTGGGATCGAACACAGCATACCACATTTTAGAATATTCCCAGCAAATGCACGTCTCGTGCTGCTCCAGCCAATACGCACTTGGCCATTCAAATCGTCCCAGACGAACGTTTCCTGTTGCAAATGTGAAAGCATTAAAGCCTATCAAAAAAATCGCCATATGTTCACATCCCCTACCTCCAAAAAGGCTAACAGTTGTCAATTGGGGTCTGCGTTTGACAACGAATTCGATCCAACGATGCATAGACCTAATCTGCAAGCTCGTTCAGGTAGATGTCAGACAGTTCCCTTCATGGTTGCTCCCCATGTGGCTGCAACGACTTGTTGTTTCTGTTTTCTTGCATTCGCATCGCGGACTGGGCGTTCGTTTGCCCACTTGGAAAGCATGTGCTTATCGATTAGCTCGTCTTCTGAATGGTGTATGAAGCGAAACGCAGGTGTATACCCCAGTTCTAAACGCCTTGCCATCTGCATTCGTAGATGCGGTGCAGCTCGATTCAGCTTCTCCTCCACATCTTTGGGGTCGTGCCTAGACGCGACGGTGAAGTAAACATAACACGTTGACCTGAATAACATTCATAAGCTGGTGTTAATTTTCATTACGCCAGCTCTGGCACACCTGCACGCAGAAGATACCCAGTAATGTATGAGGTGCCCAGAATTACCTGGTAGTCTGCTGTTCCACATGATGAATCGAAACTGAAGCTCCGCCCAGGAGGCCGTAGAGGACCTCTGCCGAGTTCCAAGTGAGGAACTCTTCTAGCTGCGACTGCAAAAGCCGAGCTTGGCGGACAGTTCTTCGCGCCACGTGGAACTTTATGGGATCTATAATTTGGCCTGAGGCAAAACGCAGAATGACAATTAAGCGCATTGTATTTGTCCCACTGACTTCACTGGCGAATGCTCCGACTGCGATGGGCTCACTGAGATCTGCGTGTTCTCACCTTGAACATTAGGCAGTGCAGCCTTCATAAGTTTTGCATTTGCAAGCTTCTCCTCGCGTATCTTTGCTCTAATACGAGACGCCAGTTCCTGCCGTTCCGCATCTGCTTCCATTCGAACCATACGGCGCGCTGCCCTCACACCATCATCCAAGCCTAAGCTCTTAATAAGAGAATCTTCCGTCTGCCAATGCACGCAGAAACGCAAAGATTCACCAAACTCAGAGAGGACAGTGTCCATATTGCGCCTGCACTTCCACATGAGAAGCCTATAAATCCATAAATATATATATATATATATATATATATATATACACGGAACAAATCATAGATGTGCACTGGTCCCGTCGCACCTATAGTATGTGAAGTTGACAGCATGCATCAGCATTCATGGTACACCACCGTATTACCATATGAAGGTAAGAGAAGGGCTAGGAAGCGGAGACCCGCGCACAACGAGAAGGGTTGAATGAGTAGAGGAGGCATTATAAGTTAACACGGAGGCAGAAGGGCGAGAGCCGTACTTGTGGGTCGTGTTGACGTATGAGAGCTGCTGCTTCTTTTTCTGGGTCGGGTAGTGCCCTGGCCTTAAGCCAGCGGATGCGTCTGTCTAGGAGAAGTTTCTGTTGGTAGGCCTCCCGCATTCGAATGACTTCTTCGTGGGTAAGGTCCCGGTAAGCTCCGCCTTTGAGAGAGGCGTAGTCAAACAGTGCCTCATACGGGTCCGTCTTGCGTTCAGGGAAATTCATTGAGGCTGCTCCTCCTTCTTCTGCTTCGTTTGCTTCTTCTTCTTCCTCCTCCTCCTCTTCATCTTCTTCCTCCTCTTCATCTTCGTCTTCGTCTTCGTCTTCGTCTTCGTCTTCGTTCACTCTCGCTCCTCTGTAAGACTCCGCCTCTGCAGCCGCCTCCTGTGCTGCTGCAGACACCGCAGAGCATATATATATATATATATATATATATATATATATATATATATATATATATATATATGCTGTATGTGTATAGAATGTTTTATTATTGTGTTGTTTGCTGCGACGGTTGTTGTGTTTGAATATCCTAATCGTCTGTGTATTTTTCTGTTTACCTATTTGGTGGTTTTCTCTTTTTCTCATCCGCCTTCTTCTTCCTCCTCCTCCTTCGCTTCGTACAAAAGGCAGAGAAGGGCTGAAGACAGCAGGGGGCCGTTTGTATTTTTCTATAAACTGAGCCCATCCCTCCTCAGTCTTACTGGGGGGCCCCTCCATCGTGGGGGCCCCAGGGGGCCCCCCATGGGGGGCCCCCTCGTGGTTTGCTGCTGCAGCTTTTGTAGAGAAAAGTTTTGGCTTTCTTCTGCCAACTGATAATTTGAATTCTCTTTGAATTTCTTCGTCCTCAAACGCAGACGGATGGGGGCGGCCTAAGTTATAAATAAATAAATAAAATAAAATAAATAAATAAAATAAATAAATAAATAAATAGGTAAATTGTAGAAGGAGAAAGAAGAAAGGAAGAGGAAATACAAACAAACAAAAAAAAAACAAACGAGAACAAATAACACCACCAAGGAAGCAACCAAGCACAAGAAAACAAAAAGGAAGAAAACAAACGAAATAAATAAAAAAGATACAAACATATATATATATATATATATATATATATATATATATATATATA